GTGCAAACATTTTACCCAAGTTTTGTAAAAATATTTAAAAAATTTTACCAATAAATTTTTTAATGATGTATTTTACAAAATGAAAAATCTGTGCATGTAAAATACATGTAAAATACTATGTAAAATACATGGTTTGTCATATTGCCAACCTAATAATAATACATAGTTGTATATAATGTTATAAATTATTAATTATTGTGAAGTGAAATATAGTGAACAAATAAGTATTGAAATCAATACATACAACGCTGTCAGTGATTCATGCGTTGTGAAAGTCCGGTGACTAATAGTACACTTTTGTAAATCAGCGTGATGTATAGTAGTTTTAGTCCCTTTTGTCATTAGTTTCACATGTATTCCAATGTATGGCTATTGTATACAATAGGACTAAATGTGAGTATCAGTTATAGTGTTATGTCTGTGGAGGCGATTGTTGGCCTCCTTTTGCACTGACTTTGCACTGAAATGTATGGCAAATATGTTTTTGTCTGAAACACTGTCTATAGATTACGTCAATTATTATTATCACTTATTGCAAGAACTCTACATAAAGTGTTCACAAAATACATGTACAATAATTTCCACTCATTTGCATTAATAATTATATTAACTGAACAAGCTTAAATCTAAACAAATTAGTCATGTTTATAATTACTGCAAATAATTAAGATTAATGCGATTTAAATGATAATGTTGGTTATTTTTGTTTTTTAATTAAACGCAAATATGTAAACGTATACAAAAACCGGCCGTTGTTTATGTACTATTGTATATTAACGTACGCTATGCTAACTCTATGGGAGGTCTGTATTATAAAAGATCCTAAACTCACGCTTGTATAAGTACACTAACTATTTGCATAGTACGTGTAAATTAAATTTTTGTGTACTGTGGCTAAAAATAATTATAAAAATTAAAATACACTTAAAAGTAGCTGTGTCACTTTAGACATTGTACCATGGTGGTTGGCTAATTACACTAGCGCTAATTTATTTGTCGATTAAATAGTATAGTACAATATTTTTAATTAATATTAATACCGTGTTGTTTGATTCGTTGACTCATAACAGCAAACAGAGTTCAAAGTGTGAAAAGTTTTTAGTTTGTATTTATTTATTCAATTGAATAAGAGTTTAAAATTAAATTTCAAATAATGAGTGTCTTGGTCAACAAATTGACTCAAATTTTCTCACGTTATTCCTATGGGAACTGGCCGTCAGTACAGCCGCAGCCGATAATAAGGACTAGAAAAATGCGAAAACACTGTACGAGTTTGCCGTGAAGGACATTGACGGCAATGATGTATAAATCATTATTTATTATATTTGTTAACTTGATAATGTAACTTTACAATATAACTTAATTCTAATCGCTCTAACCTAGGTCAATATGGAGAAATATAAGGGCCACCGGTGCTAGTGGTGAACGTGGCCAGCAATTGTGGCCTAACCGACACCAACTATCGGCAACTGCAAGCCTTGTACGCCCAGTACGACCCCGAAGGGTTACGTGTGTTGGCGTTTCTCACCAATGAGTTTTTCAGTCAGGAACCGGTACTAATACCCAGATCAAAGAGTTTGCCCACAAGTATAATGTGATGTTCGATATGATGGCCAAGATTAAAGTGAATGGTTAGTTAATGGCCGTACCTGTACGTGCCTTTCACACTGTTTCAACCCTTTTTAGGTTATAGTTAGATAGTTTCAGGGTTTATGTGTTTTTAATTCAGAGTGTTTAGATTTAAATTTTAAAACTAGAAGTTACATAATTCAAACTGTGTGCTTGTTTGTTTTGTTAGTTACCGTAATGAAAGTATTTTGATTTATTATCTAGGTGATGACGCCCACCCCTGTACAAGTGGCTAAAAGAAAAACAAAGTGGTTATCTCGGTTCGATGGAATCAAGTGGAATTTCACCAAGTTCTTAATTGACCAGAAAGGGATCCCCATTAAACGCTATGCGCCCACCATTTCGTTGAATGACATCGAGTCCGACATTAAGTCCCTGTTATATAAGGAGTTGTTATAAATACGCGTACGAAATGCCAAAACACGTCTCATAAATTTTTTTAATTACATTTATTTTACCGGTATTTAATACTTTGTTTAGTTATGTTTTTTGGAATAAATAAGTTATTTTGATAATTCTGGTAATTTTTATACTTTTATGGCATAACATTATTTATTTAAATAAATTATTTTATTTAATATTATTATAAATGTTTATCATGTTAAAATTTTTGCTGTTAGAGTTCATTAGTTATATTAATTTTAGTGATTATTATTACGATTAGTTATTTTTAAATGAACATAGTTTTTAAAACTTGATAAACTAAATGTGACATGGTAAATGATTTATAAACTCGTTGTTAGTAATAATGATCACAAATGACCAGGTAATTAATATAAAACACTTTATGACAATTAAATGACCACTAAATAAGTAATCATTGAATAGTCTTGCAATTCATTTAACGATAAAGTGATTGTATTTAACACTCATTACTTTCGCAATACTTATTGATCACTAATTTTTACATCACTTTTGCCACACGTTTTGTATGATTTTAATAAAAAATTATTGTAATTTTATTATTAATTAATTATAAATATTATGTTTTGTGTTCAAAATCAAGAAAATAAATGTAAGTAATATTTAAAGTAATATTTAAATTATTGACACAAATTAAATAAAATTTTTAAATGTAATTGTATTAGTGTTTCAAACAATGTGTATAAAGTATACGAAGGACTCAATGGATAGGTTTGGCGACGATTTGTGTGAAGTATTGTTGAGTTATCTGTCATTTGAGGACCGATTCCGGTGTGAATGTGTGTCCACTCAATGGCAACGATTGGTATACACTACACAAAATGACCTGGTTATAAATCAGAAATTATATGAAAATAGCTACAAAATAAAACAATTGTGAAAAATATCACAATTTTAACAGTATATCATTTTATAACATTAATACCGAAATACGGCATAAAATTGTTGAATATTGTCAGCAATTGAACGAAATTGAAGTGATTTTTAATGGGAAAGGAAATTACGACAAATTGTTGGCATATTTTGCCCCACAATTGAAAACATTGATTATCACAACATATGATCACTCTCTTTAAGACATTACAGAGTTTGCGAATATTATTCAAATGTGCAATACTTTGAACAGACTATCAATTAATATAATTGATTTATGTATTGAAGGCTAAAATTAAGACCACAATTATTATAACGATAATTATTGGACTGATTGTCAAACAAATACAATGAGGCAAAATTAAATAAATTAATAAATCAGTTGTTTATTACAGAGTATATGACATTTTCAATCTCTCTCTCTCTCTCTCTCTCGATCAATTACTTATATGTATCTNCTCCGCAGCAAGTTGTGGTATTCATTTAGTAAATTCATTAAAATTTTTATTGAAAATTTTGATAAAAAATCCATATATTTAACATTTTTAATGAAAAAGTGCATTTCCAGGACAATTTTGAATAAAAAGAAGTAATTTGGGAGTTATTTTAAAATGTGCCAAAATCGGGAAATTAGGGAAAATTAAAAATGATATAGTTTGAGTCTATTATGATCCCTGAATTTAATAGTATGTAATTCCCGATGTTTTTTGTCGGGAATTCCGGAAATTTCGACCCCTTAACACATAACATAACACAAGACAAGTATATTACGTGCATTTTTGTATTTTACAATGTAAATTACATGGCCTCAAAAAAAAAAATCTTTGTAATTTACCAACCTTAATTATTATGTAATATACATAGTTTTATACCCTATTTGTTTGGTTGCGGCAAAAATGTATTGCAATATTATATTTCCAATATGTCTAATGATTATTCTTGTCTTGTGTTATGTTATGTGTTAAGGGGTCGAAATTTCCGGAATTCCCGACAAAAAACATCGGGAATTACATACTATTAAATTCAGGGATCATAATAGACTCAAACTATATCATTTTTAATTTTCCCTAATTTCCCGATTTTGGCACATTTTAAAATAACTCCCAAATTACTTCTTTTTATTCAAAATTGTCCTGGAAATGCACTTTTTCATTAAAAATGTTAAATATATGGATTTTTTATCAAAATTTTCAATAAAAATTTTAATGAATTTACTAAATGAATACCACAACTTGCTGCGGAGTTCACATAATAAGCGATTAATTTATAATATACTACAGTGAAATAGATCAAATCAATGTTTTTTAATTTTTAACTTCAATAAATGATATTATTATTTGTCATTAGGGTATATAAACATTTTTTAAAACTACTAAAATTCAATTATAGTGTGAAAATTCAATAAAAACGTAATTCCGATTTTTCCCGATTTTGGCTATGTATATCCCCAGATTTATAGGTTTTAACTCCCGAAAAATCGACGTTCTAGTTATGTGTTTGTCTGCAAAATCGTAATGCAATTCTCTCTCTCTCTCTCTCTCTCTC